ATGTCAGAATCGAGACCGGGTCCCGCGGGATCTTATTCGGAACAGAGCGTGGCGCGATCCTATATAACACGGAATAAAAAGAGCAGAGACCGCCAGGACCATAACTTTAAGTGCAACAGCGTAAAGTTGAATGAGTACATTGGGGGCTAAAAGTACCCTGCTACATGTGTTTTATTGATATTTGAAAGCTGACCGAGCAGTTCGACGAATTGATGTGCCCAATAAAATTTGTAAAACGGATAATGTTACAGCACCTATAAACTGTCCAAGATAAATTTGAAAGCCACAAAATATGCCAGACAGGATACAAGAAAAGGATACAAGTATATACAAAGTTTCACAGAGTTTCCAATTTTCTTTTTTAATGGAAACGCTTAGGATTATAAGGGTAAGGTAGGAAAGGACGACACAATCGAAGTAAATGTTGTAAATTCGCTTTTAATATAGATTAAAGTAATTATTTTTCTAAATAAATATATAAAATTCGGTTATACAATATCCTTCTCAATTTTGTCGTATTAGAACTCATTTCCATTTGGTAAAGTCCCTCCCTGCCACGGTTTAATAATCGAAATTAAATTCTTCGATTCCTGTGCCCTTTCGGCCCTTTTGTACCTTTTGAAAAATCGGCACCGAGCGAAAATCACGGTCGCAGTTCAACTGTACTGCACGGCGGCGTCTTCAAATTAAAAAGTCTCAATTTCAACCCCAACAGAGAGCGGGCGGGTGAGTATGAGAGAGAGAGAGAATAACGAGACTGATATGCGCTCACCCGTACGAAAATAGAGCGATTTTTTTTATGTGCAAAGCGAATCGAGTTAGTACCGCTGTGCTCGGCGCTTTTTAATTTAAAAAGTTCGCCATAGTCGCAGCGGCGTGTCACTCGCATTGAATACTAATTGGATTATTATGTCCTCCTGCGCGTACGCCACCCCTTTCGTCGCTCCGCCGCCGTCATCGTGTACTCTGCACCCCCTCGTCCCGTTCCCTCGACGCTGGACCGCTCAGTATCGCGCCGGGGATTTTTTATAACAGCATCATCTGGCAACTGGTTTTGCAACTCTCATAATGCAGCCAACAACTGTAAAAGCGGCAGGCGGCGGCTTTTTGCACCCCGACGCCCGTCGCTGCCGCCGTCGCCGAGGACGCGGAAAGCATCCGCGATCCTTGCATACAAAACAAAACGCGCTAGAGATGTACGCAGACCGAAAAGCATTACGTCAATCTTTTGCCTCCCTGATCAATACAGCAAACGAAAATAGAACTTT